CCCCCCCCCCCATTACAGACCATAGCAACCAACAATAATATTGTATACAGATATACCCGCCCCCCTCATTACAGACTGCAACAACCGTATTTATCAAATAATCATTGGTGTAGCAATATAACGTCAAATTAGAAAACAAAAAAAGAAATATTATTATCGAGTATATAGCAATGATTATAAATGAAATCGAGCGCGCTTAAATTAAAAAAACAATATTTTTTTTAATATATTTTTTTAATATATAAATAAACCATAAATTCCCGCTCTTCTCATCGATTCTCAATGAAAACAATTTTAGTGGACAAGAAAATTTTTCAGTTTATAGATTATGTAATATAGAAGAAAAAGTTGAAGGATATATGTGAGTTCCACATTTTAGCTCCAAAGGAGCTGCGCTAACTAGCTTTTTTCCTTAACTAAATAACGAAAGGTTTTATTTTTCGTTTAAATAGGATTATCAATCCAGCCAAAGCTATGAATGAATTAGGCTGGTGGCCAAGACACGTAGGTTTTGTCGAAGAAATTGAGACCTGTTATAAGGCATGGGTAGCTCACAAAGCAACTCAAGAAGAAACGAAGTAGTTTTTTTTCAACTTGGTTTCCAGAATTTTGACTTAGAAAAAAAAACGAAATAAATAGCAATCATTTGAAATGTTCAGCTATATCTTTTATGCATATCGCTTGATATGAGCAACAGCATTTGTTCGTCTACACTTATTATTTTGCAGGATTGCTTATGCAAAATAAAAATTACAAGAATGGCTTGAGCTCGATTTTGAACTTTATATATTTTATTTTCGCGACCAAAATCATGTTGTCCATAGACGATCATCTATCAAATGCTATATAACTCAGGACTTGGTCCAAATTTCTAAACCACGAACACATTCCACCTTTTCACTTGTGATTCCATTGGCAGTGAGGCGCAGATCAACGACCAAATCACAGTAGGATGTGTGTATGTGGCTATGTTTTATCTCTTTAACTACAAAGCTACACTCGCATCCTAGTTCGAAATTCAGAATAGATAAAATCAAAATGTCTAAAACTTTCACAATTCACTAGCCTTGTTAAGATCTACTCTCTATAGAAACTTCTCAATGGGAATTCAAAAATCAATTTTCCTGGTGCTTACAGCTTCTTTTCTAGTCCTTATTTTTATTTATTCCGATGTGCAAATATTTTGTGTTTTTCAAATACAAAGTAGCATATTTAGCATCGGAAAAATTTGCGGTATTCATAATATGATCGATTGTGCCATATAATTTAAAAAGATAAAACAAGTAAATAGACGACATTTAATCATTTCAGAAAATGATTCTCTTGAAAAAAGATCATCATATAACTGTTCACCCTTTCCTAAGAATTATATCTGTACACACGTTGTAGGCATGATTACCCATTTGTTTGAAACTTTCTAAATTACCACTACAGTGAATCGACTAAAAATTAGATACTAAGTAAGATAGATTCGACTACATTTATTTTTCAAATGCGTTCATTAAGATGAAAAACAGTAGAGATAACTGGTGTACATCCCTCGAAATTTTTAATCAAAGTTTTAATTGACTAGAATTCGTCAAAATAATTCTATGTAGTATGTGAAGCAAATCAAAATTAGATCATTTAAATCGATCAAAATGATCATTATTCCGAAGTTTTGGTTAAATAAGAATGAACGCTCTTTACTTACTTAGCACTATTGGAGCCACAAGAAAAAATGTTAGCTGTCAGCTTTCTTTTTTTTATACTTCAGAGTAAAATTAAAATTAATAATAATGGAAGATAAAAGGTCCATTATTAGGAGAACAATCTTTAATATTTATAGATTAGCAAGTTCACAAAATCTTGTTTGTTAAGTCGAAATTCGTTAATAGTATTTGAAAAAAGGTCCTGATGAGACAGGTACAGAACTACTTTGACAGCTTACCGATGGTGATGATTCCGACGAACTTATATCATCCGATATGATATACAGTAAAATATTGGAATCTTGTGAAGAGATAGATTCAATGGTTGATGATAAATCACTAAATTGTCCATTAATATCAAGGCGTACATTATATGAATTCATGTATAGTTTGGTATTACAGGACCTCGAGCATCATTAACAGTAGAAGCCTAAGCCAACCATTGACTGAGTGAAGTATCGATACTTATAAAAACAACAAGATTGTAACAACTTTTATTATCATTGGAATCAGGAGCTAAATGCACCAATGTACCATCTGTAGTAAATATTGGATTAACCCAAAGTGAATATGTAAATGTATTCCGGTTGTATCAAATAGATAATACACTACTAATGATTTATCATTAGAACACTTCGAGCAACATCTCTTAACCATTACAATATCCAGATCCATAAGTATACGAGGATGATCTTCGAACGGTTGTTGTTGAACTTGATGAAATTCCTTGATAAGTATTAACAATACTGTATGATAAAGTCTTGAAATTGTACAATATATGAATTTGATTTTTCAATGAAATGTTCACAACAGATTAGTTTATTTTTGTGTACTCAAAAAGTGAGTACACTCTAGAATCGGTCAGTGTGTCCGGCCGTCCGTCCGTTTACACGATAACTTTTGAAAGGAGAGTCCAATCGCGATGAAATTTTCTATATAGTTCAGTCTTTACAATGTCTCGGTCGAGTTCGAAGATGAAAAGGATCCGTCGAGAAATGACTGAGTTATAAAAAAAATTGTGATTTTTCACCAGACCATCCCTGAGGGGGGGTACAGGGATTTTTTTCGAAAAAACATTTTTTTCTAATAATTATTCACAAAATACATAAATCGACTCAGTTTTTAACGCTGATTCCGAATCTGATATTAGTTTTGAACCAAATTGTAGTTTTCTAACAAAACGTTGCCTGAAGAAGGTCTCAAAATGCCAAAAAACTGCATCCAGAGACCAAACAGCCTAGAGGTGTCTCAGATGATCAGTAGTTTTGGGGTTTCCCAAATGCCTGATTTTGTAGTTAGTCAAAAAGACTGTCGAGAGGTAGAAACTCGAACTCGATAGCTATTAATATTGGTGATTTATTAGGAAAATCCTGATGTTTGTATCTCTGATATATCTCTTATAGATTGATGAGTTTGATTACGATCGTAATCCTGCTAGATAGAAACACAAATCCATTGAAAACAAACTCTTCTTAGCTAATTTTCCAAGGTAAATACGAATCTGAACTCAATTTCTGTGATTTCTAAAGATATAATATAACTGATAATAGAGTCAGTGGTCACCGTATAGGGTTGCATAAAGTGTAGTCCATGCTAACTACGCACTCCTGTATTTTCTCCTTGCAATTTAGTGATAAAAAAAACACAGTGAATATACCTCTTCACTTTTTGAAGTACGCATAACACTCGGATTTAAATCCGAGGTTTTCGCATTTATTTTTATTCTCAACACTATTGAATCTCTTTATGAAATAATATTGATGTTTATTCAATCCGTGATACCTATGTTGGATTTTCATCAAAAAAGAATTCATATGGTAGATCTTTACAACAGTTTTCATTGACCTTGATGTTAATAAGTTAGTCGAAAGCATTCACCACAATATATAATTCTGATTTCATTTGCAGACATGATTTGGATTAATACGAAAGTGTGTTTAAAATCTTATATGACAATCAAAAAAGATTTAGAATAATTTTGTTTCAGATAAACAAAATCATAAAATTAAGATCGACCTTCAGTACATCACTTAATGGTATCACACTTAAATAGTTTCACTCCAGTAAATTTATCGAAGACATGCTTTGTTCAAAAGAAATATGAAAACTCTCAATATTAAAACAATTTTAAAAAGAGAGATAAGATAGCGGTTTCCTTTTAGAAAATCTTATAATTTAACTTGAAAATTCAAATCAAAATAATTATTTCTACTTTGAAGAATTCATGTAGTGTGGGCGATACTCGAATTAAATGTTGTTATAAATGATATTAAAATATTTCAAGATGACGTTGATTCGATATTTTTCATCATTTCTTTATGAGAAAAAAAAACATAAAGTTGCAATGACTATTTTCAACTAAGGTGGTAAGATGAAGTCAAAAAAAATGGAACGAATCTATCCTATATGATACTGCTGTTGCTCAGTTACTTTTGCCATTTCATTTACAGACATAAAAAATATGGTTGCTTCAACATTCGTAACTGGAATATCGATTCTTTATCCAAAACAGATATCTGCATCTGTATTTCATGTTGTGCTAAGTTGCATGTTTTCCAAGAGAGTTTGCATGATATTCTTCAAGCGCATGATGAAACTATAAGCAATCTGAAGAGTGATGAGACTTAGTAACCAAACAAATGAACGTGCATTTTAATACGTGTCTTTTCCTTAATTCAACACATACTTCTTCAAAGAGCAATTACTAAAGATTGCCATTTTATTCTCGATTGATTCACATATCTCCTCAGCAAAACCTTCATGTTCTCCTCACATCGTTGTTGATATTGATATGTACTCTAAGGCTTATAAAAACAATTTTGGTTGGAGCTAATCGAGACATCCGTCTTGTACAAACACCTTTTCTAGGTTCAAATGAGGATTATTTCAGTGATTGGAAAAATATATTGATCAATTTTTGAGTGTCCTATCAATTGAAGAGGAATAACCTGAATATCATAATGGTTTATAGTCGAAATTCTATGGCAAGCACATTCAACTAGGCAATGAAGTCACGATTTGATATATAAGCGTGAATTTGCATTTGCTGAGTAATCATTTCTGTTTATACAATTGAAACTCTTCCTTAATTATATCCGTAAAAATTAATAAAATATTTCAAATTATTGAAAGAATTATGTTTCACCGTTCATTAGCATGAAGTGAATTGACTAGTTGCTGATGTAAATAAGTTCTTCTGTTCTTGATAATGATGGCATAGACCGATGGAATTCTGAAACACAAGTCATATTCATCGAAGCTACTGTCATCTTGTAATTTGTGGTCGGACGTTTTATTTTCTATGAGTCAATTTTAAGAAAAAAATATAAACACGTTGAAAGATACTAAGTCGGCGTAGGATTCTGCTTCAGATGACATAAAAATTGCATAAATAAGAACAAAACGCTTTTTTTTCGTCAATGCCATTCAGGCTTAATTATCGCTTTCAATGAATTTATATTTTTGAAAAGAATAGTATTCGGGATACAATGCACATGTAAATCAAGAGAAACACTATCAGGATACATAAACCTGTATAACAAACTTAATTTAAGCTATATTTGACGATCTCGATTTAGCAGAATCTTTACGTGGCTGATCGTGACTTATATGGATGGACTTCTACATAATGGTTACATTTAGGACGTGGAGACATTAACTTGAACTAAATCTGATGACTTCGATATAATAAGAATAGGTGCATATGTCAATATGACGTCGAAAATGCCGTATTTCAATCTCAAGGCTGAATGGATAGGAAAATCAAGTATTTTGAAGCGAACCGGTATGATATATCGTTTTAGGATAAAAATCAGAACTAATTAATGATTTTTTTTAATGATTTATTATGCAACATACAGTCAATACAGATTGATACATATACAATGTTCT